ATAATAAGGGTAGAAGTTAACAATTATCCAGGTAAAATATACGACACCTCTGACACTTGATACACAAGTGTATAAGTGTATAAAGTGACACTTTAAATGTAAGTGTACGTTATAACTAACTTAACATTTAACTGGTTGCAATGGCAATGACAAGGGTACATTTTTTGAAGGAGAAGCCATTTAAAATATATATATTGTCTTATACGCCAAGTTAAAGGCAAAATACTAGCCCAGAAATGTCTTTTATTTAGTAATGTTTTGTTTTTGAGATTAAAGCAAAGTCTAGGAATAAACATTACGTAAATAACCCGCACGGAGGAGAGAGAAGCTTAGAGTGTAACTTTGTAAATGGTCCAAGTCGGACCGAAACGTCGTCGAAAGCTCCTCTGTGATGTTCCAGTCGCAGAGGACCACAATATCGTTCCAGTCACAGAGGACCACAATATCGCTCCAGTCACAGAGGACCACAATATCGTTCCAGTCACAGAGGACCACAATATCGTTCCAGTCGCAGAGGACCACAATATCGTTCCAGTCACAGAGGACCACAATATCGTTCCAGTCACAGAGGACCACAATATCGTTCCAGTCACAGAGGACCACAATATCGTTCCAGTCACAGAGGACCACAATATCGTTCCAGTCACAGAGGACCACAATATCGTTCCAGTCACAGAGGACCACAATATCGTTCCAGTCACAGAGGACCACAATATCGTTCCAGTCACAGAGGACCACAATATCGTTCCAGTCACAGAGGACCACAATATCGTTCCAGTCACAGAGGACCACAATATCGTTCCAGTCGCAGAGGACCACAATATCGTTCCAGTCACAGAGGACCACAATATCGTTCCAGTCACAGAGGACCACAATATCGTTCCAGTCACAGAGGACCACAATATCGTTCCAGTCACAGAGGACCACAATATCGTTCCAGTCACAGAGGACCACAATATCGTTCCAGTCACAGAGGACCACAATATCGCTCCAGTCGCAGAGGACCACAATATCGTTCCAGTCACAGAGGACCACAATATCGTTCCAGTCACAGAGGACCACAATATCGTTCCAGTCACAGAGGACCACAATATCGTTCCAGTCACAGAGGACCACAATATCGTTCCAGTCACAGAGGACCACAATATCGCTCCAGTCGCAGAGGACCACAATATCGTTCCAGTCACAGAGGACCACAATATCGTTCCAGTCACAGAGGACCACAATATCGTTCCAGTCACAGAGGCACAATATCGTTCCAGTCACAGAGGACCACAATATCGTTCCAGTCGCAGAGGACCACAATATCGTTCCAGTCACAGAGGACCACAATATCGTTCCAGTCACGATATTGTGCCTTTGTATTCTTAATACATTTACCAAAACTTCTCTCCAAGAGGTATTTGTTACGATGTTATTATTTCCCCAGAAGAACAAGTTACTGTCACTTCTCTAAGGTATAAAAGGTGAGGAAGGAGTGTAACTCACAGCCTTGATCATGGTGGTGGTTGAGATTGACTCTGAGCTCCACACTCAACCTCACTCAATATATATATATACCAGCCTTACACAATGACACTCTCCAGCACAGACCAGAAAAAAAAGAATGCAACGAAAGACACAATAGTCTGGTGGAGTGACCTCGAGCACTGGTACAGAAAAGCCAACTCTAGAAGCTATAGTTTGTTCAGTTTATTAATGTGAAATTCCACTGTAGTGTATTTCCCGAGTGGTAGAGAAGTACAGCACTGCTGTGGTAGGGAAGCAAGTGCAGCACAACGCAGGAGACGGGAAGCACAGCACTGCTGTGGTAGGGAAGCAAGTGCAGCACAATGTAGGAGACGGGAAGCACAGCACTGCTGTGGTAGGGAAGCAAGTACAGCATAGTGTAGGAGACGGGAAGCACAGCACTGCTGTGGTAGGGAAGCAAGTGCAGCACAATGCAGGAGACGGGAAGCACAGAACTGCTGTGTATTTATCCTCTTGTGCTGTGTAAAACACGGCTTCAATAGGGTATTGGATCGTGGATTTAAATGCATGTGAAAAATCCTCGCTACCCCCCACCCCATTATTTACATCCCTGAGACTATGGGTCCCCACTTGAAAGATAACTCTAGGCCTTTCGTGTTATAATCAACACATCGTCAGAAGCTAGCAATATTGCAGAAAAGACAATGAACTCCGAACGCACACGTTTTTATCTAGCAAAAACACTCACCTCTGAACATGTAGGCTCGGATTTCGTACACAAAAGGCCAAGAGCTATCTCTCAACTCCCAAAGATAGTGAATTTGGATGAAAGATTTATTCATGGACAAGATTATGTGATATATTAAGTTTGGTTCCACTTAAGTTCACTATCTTCCCGTCCACTAACAGAAGGAAACAGGCATCACAATGTTCAAAAGTGATAATTAAAATAATTTCGTGGCTAGAAAATGATAAAAATGAGAAGCTAATTTTCCTGTGACGCTGAGAGGAGGAAAGAGCTGTCGTGGTTGTTGTAGCTGTCGTGGTTGTTGTAGCTGTCGTGGTTGTTGTAGCTGTCGTGGTTGTTGTAGCTGTCGTGGTTGTTGTAGCTGTCGTGGTTGTTGTAGCTGTTGTAGCTGTCGTGGTTGTTGTAGCTGTCGTGGTTGTTGTAGCTGTCGTGGTTGTTGTAGCTGTCGTGGTTGTTGTAGCTGTTGTAGCTGTCGTGGTTGTTGTAGCTGTTGTAGCTGTCGTGGTTGTTGTAGCTGTTCTGGGTGTTGTAGCTGTCGTGGTTGTTGTAGCTGTCGTGGTTGTTGTAGCTGTCGTGGTTGTTGTAGCTGTCGTGGTTGTTGTAGCTGTTGTAGCTGTCGTGGTTGTTGTAGCTGTTGTAGCTGTCGTGGTTGTTGTAGCTGTCGTGGTTGTTGTAGCTGTCGTGGTTGTTGTAGCTGTTGTAGCTGTCGTGGTTGTTGTAGCTGTTGTAGCTGTCGTGGTTGTTGTAGCTGTCGTGGTTGTTGTAGCTGTCGTTGTTGTTGTAGCTGTTGTACTGTCGTGGTTGTTGTAGCTGTTGTAGCTGCGTGGTTGTTGTAGCTGTTCTGGGTGTTGTAGCTGTCGTGGTTGTTGTAGCTGTCGTGGTTGTTGTAGCTGTCGTGGTTGTTGTAGCTGTCGTGTTGTTGTAGCTGTCGTGGTTGTTGTAGCTGTCGTGGGTGTTGTAGCTGTCGTGGTTGTTGTAGCTGTCGTGTTGTTGTAGCTGTCGTGGTTGTTGTAGCTGTCGTGGTTGTTGTAGCTGTTGTAGCTGTCGTGGTTGTTGTAGCTGTTGTAGCTGTCGTGGTTGTTGTAGCTGTCGTGGTTGTTGTAGCTGTTGTAGCTGTCGTGGTTGTTGTAGCTGTTCTGGGTGTTGTAGCTGTCGTGGTTGTTGTAGCTGTCGTGGTTGTTGTAGCTGTCGTGGTTGTTGTAGCTGTCGTGGTTGTTGTAGCTGTCGTGGTTGTTGTAGCTGTTGTAGCTGTCGTGGTTGTTGTAGCTGTCGTGGTTGTTGTAGCTGTTGTAGCTGTCGGGTTGTTGTAGCTGTTCTGGGTGTTGTAGCTGTCGTGGTTGTTGTAGCTGTCGTGGTTGTTGTAGCTTGTCGTGGTTGTTGTAGCTGTCGTGGTTGTTGTAGCTGTCGTTGTTGTTGTAGCTGTCGTGTTGTTGTAGCTGTCGTGGTTGTTGTAGCTGTCGTGGTTGTTGTAGCTGTCGTGGTTGTTGTAGCTGTCGTGGGTGTTGTAGCTGTTTTAGCTGTCGTGGTTGTTGTAGCTGTCGTGGTTGTTGTAGTGTAGCTGTCGTGGTTGTTGTAACTGTTGTAGCTGTCGTGGTTGTTGTAACTGTTGTAGCTGTCGTGGTTGTTGTAGCTGTACTGGTGTTGTAGCTGTCGTGGTTGTTGTAGCTGTCGTGGTTGTTGTAACTGTTGTAGCTGTCGTGGTTGTTTGTAGCTGTTGTAGCGTCGTGGTGTTGTAACTGTTGTAGCTGTCGTGGTTGTTGTAGCTGTCGTGTTGTTGTAGCTGTCGTGGTTGTTGTAGCTGTCGTGGTGTGTAACTGTTGTAGCTGTCGTGGTTATTGTAGCTGTCGTGGTTGTTGTAGCTGTCGTGGGTGTTGTAGCTGTCGTGGTTGTTGTACTGTGTGGTTTTGTAGCTGTCGTGGGTGTTGTAGCTGTCGTGGTTGTTGTAGCTGTCGTGGTTGTTGTAGCTGTCGTGGGTGTTGTAGCTGTCGTGATTGTTGCAGCTGTCGTGGTTTTGTAGCTGTCGTGGTTGTTGTAGCTGTCGTGGTTGTTGTAGCTGTCGTGGTTGTTGTAGCTGTCGTGGTTGTTGTAGCTGTCGTGGGTGTTGTAGCTGTCGTGATTGTTGCAGCTGTCGTGGTTGTTGTAGCTGTCGTGGTTGTTGTAGCTGTCGTGGTTGTTGTAGCTGTCGTGGTTGTTGTAGCTGTCGTGGTTGTTGTAGAGTCGTAGTTGTTGTAGCTGTCGTGGTTGTTGTAGCTGTCGTGGTGTTGTAGCTGTCGTGGTTGTTGTAGCTGTCGTGGTTGTTGTAGCTGTCGTGGTTGTTGTAGCTGTCGTGGTTGTTGTAGCTGTCGTGATTGTTGTAGCTGGCGTGGTTGTTGTAGCTGTCGTGTTGTTGTAGCTGTCGTGGTTGTTGTAGCTGTCGTGGTTGTTGTAGCTGTCGTGGTGTTGTAGCTGTCGTGGATTGTTGTAGCTGTCGTGGTTGTTGTAGCTGTCGTGATTGTTGTACGCAGGCGTGTGTTGTAGCTGTCGTGATTGTTGTAGCTGTCGTGGATTGTTGTAGCTGTCGTGGTTGTTGTAGCTGTCGTGGGTGTTGTAGCTGTCGTGATTGTTGTAGCTGTCGTGGTTGTTGTAGCTGTCGTGATTGTTGTAGCTGTCGTGGGTGTTGTAGCTGTCGTGATTGTTGTAGCTGTCGTGGTGTTGTAGCTGTCGTGGTTGTTGTAGCTGTCGTGGGTGTTGTAGCTGTCGTGATTGTTGTAGCTGTCGTGGGTGTTGTAGCTGTCGTGATTGTTGTAGCTGTCGTGGGTGTTGTAGCTGTCGTGATTGTTGTAGCTGTCGTGGTTGTTGTAGCTGTCGTGTTGATACTTAAATGGAATGCTTGGCGATATCTCACTACTGAGTTCCATCAGCTGACACTATGAAGTTGCAATCAGGCTGACACTATAAGTGCCAACGCTGACACTACTGAAGGTGCAACCAGGCTGACACTTACTGAAGTGCCACTCAGGCTGACACTACTGAGTGCCAACTCGGCTGACATACTGAAGTGCAACTCAGGCTGACACTAACTGAAGTGCCAACTCAGGCTGACACTACTGAAGTGCCAACTCAGGCTGACACTACTGAAGTGCCAACTCAGGCTGACACTACTGAAGTGCCAACTCAGGCTGACACTACTGAAGTGCCAACTCAGGCTGACACTACTGAAGTGCCAACTCAGGCTGACACTACTGAAGTGCCAACTCAGGCTGACACTACTGAAGTGCCAACTCAGGCTGACACTACTGAAGTGCCAACTCAGGCTGACACTACTGAAGTGCCAACTCAGGCTGACACTACTGAAGTGCCAACTCAGGCTGACACTACTGAAGTGCCAACTCAGGCTGACACTACTGAAGTGCCAACTCAGGCTGACACTACTGAAGTGCCAACTCAGGCTGACACTACTGAAGTGCCAACTCAGGCTGACACTACTGAAGTGCCAACTCAGGCTGACACTACTGAAGTGCCAACTCAGGCTGACACTACTGAAGTGCCAACTCAGGCTGACACTACTGAAGTGCCAACTCAGGCTGACACTACTGAAGTGCCAACTCAGGCTGACACTACTGAAGTGCCAACTCAGGCTGACACTACTGAAGTGCCAACTCAGGCTGACACTACTGAAGTGCCAACTCAGGCTGACACTACTGAAGTGCCAACTCAGGCTGACACTACTGAAGTGCCAACTCAGGCTGACACTACTGAAGTGCCAACTCAGGCTGACACTACTGCAGTGCCAACTCAGGCTGACACTACTGAAGTGCCAACTCAGGCTGACACTACTGCAGTGCCAACTCAGGCTGACACTACTGAAGTGCCAACTCAGGCTGACACTACTGAAGTGCCAACTCAGGCTGACACTACTGAAGTGCCAACTCAGGCTGACACATTTCAACACTGTACCAGCACCACCTGTGTGATGGAATATGACAGGTAACCACAGCAGCTGTGTCGCTACTGTGTAACTATCATACAATATAATGTAGCAGCACACTGCTGATGTATTCAATTTTGATAAAATTATGCTCAAAAAACTGAGAAAATGCTTAGGCCTCACTTGATGTTTCTCTATTCTCTTTTAGCCTTCTCTTCCTTCCCTCTCAAATATTTACCTATTTCGTATTTTGTCCCTTTCTTCATCCTGCCCTTTTTAAAGTTCTCTCATCTCTCTCTTATTGTCTGTTACAGGGAATTTTCCTCATGAGATGAGCCAAGAGTCGTCTCTCAACACTTCAGACAGTCTATCAGACACTATTGTTTAGTTAAACCTATCTCTCAAATCAAGCCTATAATGGCAGCACTCGGGAGGTTAGGTTAGGTTCCTCAAGAAATACGACAAATGTTTCCTGACGCGGGTCTTAGATGATGACCCGCCGTTGGAGCATTCGGTCATCTGACCGAGGCCTTCCGCTGGCTTACCCCTCCACCTATTTAAAATTTATGATCATAGTTACGTGTTGTTAGACTGTTTTTTCAGGAGATTGTCACCCACATCTCCTGAAGCACGAATTACCACTGTATACCTGGAGTATACCTGTAGAGGGTTTCTAGAGTCAACGCTCCCGCGGCCCGGTCTGTGACTAGGCCTCATGGTGGATCAGAGTCTGATCAACCAGGCTGTTACTACAGGTATTGTGAAGGTTTGACATCAAGACCAGAATACGTAATTATGTGGTTTTATTTAGAGATTTTGAAGGTGGGGTTACAAGAGGGGACATAATGGGTAGTTTAGGTATTGTGAGAACCATATAGGTGGAGTGGTCCCACCAGAGACACCTCCTGACGTGACCGGTAGGACTACTGGACCATTCTTGGCAAATGGAGAACCATTTGACACCATGCTGACCGTCTGATCCTGGAAATAAAAGAAATTATTATTATTATTATTATTATTATTATTATTATTATTATTATTATTATTATTATTATTATTATTATTATTATTAATGTCATTATTTGGGTTTCATTTATTAAAATATACTAGAATGGAATGGGTTACATATCAGTGTGTGTGTGTGTGTGTGTGTGTGTGTACTCACCTATTTGTGGTTGCAGGGGTCGAGTCTTAGCTCCTGGTGTGTGTGTTTGTGTGTGTGTGTGTGTGTGTGTGTGTGTGTGTGTGTGTGTGTGTGTGTGTGTACATACGTAAGCTGAGGGTAGTAAGAAAATACTTTTACCTTTATCGTCCATATCCATAGCCACCACCATAGCCGCCATAGCCACCACCATAGCCGCCATAGCCACCACCATAGCCGCCATAGCCACCACCATAGCCGCCATAACCGCCGCCATAGCCACCATACCCTCCATATCCACCACCGTAGCCACCATATCCACCACCATAGCCACCATAGCGACGATAGCCAGGTTCAGGCATGGGACTGGCCAAGACAGAGGCCACAAGGACGAAGATGGACAACACAGCAAACACCTGAAACACAATAATAATAATAATAATAATAATAATAATAATAATAATAATAATAATAATAATAATAATAATAATAATAATAATAATAAAAGTTAACAATTATTCTGAAAAATATCCAACAACTCTGATGCCTTAAATACACGAATATATATAAAATCTTCATATGTAAGTATATATAATAAAAACATCTGAGGTCTTGTTAATAAGTACGTAATTTCGAGTATTTTTCTCCTCAAAGCAGCTCAATAAAGACATTTTTATTGCATATATTATTTATTTTACAAAAAAAAAAATTAAATGAGTTACGACTGCCTTCTATACTACAATATTTTCCTGTTAATGTGAGTGTATCAATGTCTGTGTATTGTACAGTGTTTTAAATTGATGGACCTGATTTTAATGCAGTTTGCTTTAAAATGGGGTCCATTATTTTAAAACACCTGTATTTTAGAGGCAGAATGTAATATGGTAGAGAATAAAATATTTATGTATCTCGGTAGGAAATATGTTAGGTAATAAGTGTTGAGTTGAGAGTAGAAGTGTAGTAACTCACAGCCTTGATCATGGTGGTGGTTGAGACTGCCTCTGAGGTCCACACTCAACCTCACTCAATATATATACCCTGAGTCAACTCTCACACACACACACACACACACACACACACACACACACACACACAAGCACAAACCAAAAAAAATGGCACCGAAAATTCCGACACAATGTTCTCTACCGACCTCGACTGTTGGTACACAAACACACGAGCTGGCAAATACATTTTATTCTGTTTTAACTTCGTTGTCATGTGATGTATTGTACAGGTTTGTGAATGTATGTGAAGATAGACTGTATATAATGTAAGGGGTTGGTACAGTGAAAAAAAAAATTCTCCATAATTCTGTAATGGCATCAATTTGTGGCATAAAACCGCCTACAAAATTAAGTGCAAATTGAATTTACTCCCACACCCACAACACCCAGCCCCTCCCAATTACATATTTGTAAATAGCAGTACTACTGTGTATATTACGTTATACACTGTACGTAGATGACCCGGTCATTGCTGGGTCGAGAGTCTCTGCTCACTTGTCAGTGTTCACGAGTTCGAATCTTTTACAAACATGATGTTACTCTTCTCTTGTTGTTGAGAGTGTTATCCGTGCTTGCTCGCGGTCCATTCTCCTGTTGCTGGTGCCTGGAGGCATGAACGTTCTTCTCAACGTGGACACCACTATTCAGGCGAACAGATGAACGTGCTCTCTTACGATATATATTTATATCTTAGTACGACGCCCGCTCTTAGGTTAAGTAAGACCCGTTAGGAAACAAGCTGTATACCTCTTAACGTGGGTCTTAGTCATGTGATGACCCTCACATAGGAGCAACAAGCTTATGACGACGTTTTGGTCCGATTTAGACCATTAACAAGTCACAGTTAATGGACCAAGTCCGACCGAAATGTCGTCCCTGGTGTCTCTCTTAGTCTTCCAGTCACTGTATTATACCCTTATATTCCTTTCCTTTGACCCTTAAGACCGGTCCACTGTTTTTAATAAAATAACATCATGTGCAACAGTTAGGTTTCTTTATTCCGAAACGTTTCGCCTCTACAGTAGTTTCTTCAGTCTAGTGCAGAAGTGGCAGCAGAAGCAGTAGAGATGTAGAGACGGTGTAATTATCAGTCCAACAGCCTTGAAGACGTAGTTATGAGGTGGTCAGTCCCTCAGCCTGGAGAAGAGTTCACCTCCAGAGTGCGGAGCAATTGTTCCAGATTGTGGAACAAAGCTTCTCCAGGCTCGAAAAATTGTTCCAGCGTGTTCCCCAGGCTGAGGAACTGACTCCTCTGTACTCGACTGCAGAAACCTACTGTGTAGGCGAAACGTTACGGTATAAAGTTACATGTATCTTATCAACTTACGTTGCATCGTGGGTGATGTTTCCCTCATACATTATCTGCTTCTTACAGTTTAATACCACCTTTCTCTCCTGCAGAGACGAAAACGTAGCAGTCACACTGAGAACGTGTTTTAATGAAAATAAATACTAAAGTTACTATATATATATATATATAATATATATATATATATATATATATATATATATATATATAATATATATATATATATATATATATATATATATATATATACATGGAACCCGCTTAACGATCACTTCCCAATGGACAAATTATGTAATTATTTATGTAAGTACGTTTGTACGTGGGATGTTGAGGTCTGAAAAGGACTAATCTACTTACATATTCTATGGGAACAAATTCGGTCAGTAACTGGCACCTGAACATACTTCTGGAGTGAAAAAATATCGTATACCGGTCCACATAATATTTGAATAATATAAATATTATAACGGTATAATATATATATATATATATATATATATATATATATATATAATTAACTTCAACTTTTCTGCTACTATATTCTGAAGATAATATGGTATTCTCATAATAACTGGATGATTATAATCATAATCCATAATACTTAAAGGGGGTGGAGGGGTAAGCCAGTGGAAGGTATCGGTCATATGACCACTGAGACGACAATGTAATGACAAGGTGCCACTGAGACAATTATGTAATGACCAGGTGCCACTGAGACGACAATGTAATGACAAGGTGCCACTGAGACAATTATGTAATGACCAGGTGCCACTGAGACAATTATGTAATGACCAGGTGCCACTGAGACGATAATGTAATGACCAGGTGCCACTGAGACGATAATGTAATGACCAGGTGCCACTGAGACGATAATGTAATGACCAGGTGCCACTGAGACGATAATGTAATGACCAGGTGCCACTGAGACGATAATGTAATGACCAGGTGCCACTGAGACATAATGTAATGACCAGGTGCCAGTGAGACGATAATGTAATGACCAGGTGCCACTGAGACGATAATGTAATGACCAGGTGCCACTGAGACGATAATGTAATGACCAGGTGCCATGAGACGATAATGTAATGACCAGGTGCCATGAGACGATAATGTAATGACCAGGTGCCATGAGAACAGTAATAAAAATATAAATTTAATTAATATGCATAATTATTAATACATCATTGATTATAAATTAATTAGTTATTAAGTATATATAATACATGTACTACATAATTATATTGATCATGATTAGTATTATTTGTATATTACCAGTGCCACTAGACATATGTAATACCATCCATAGTACGATAACTGTAATGACTATGCCACTAGACTATAATATAACCAGTCCACTGAGACTAATGTAATGACCAGGTCCATAGACGATAACAGTATGACCAGTGCACTGAGACGATAATGTAATGACCAGGTGCCACTGAGACGATAATGTAATGACCAGGTGCCACTGAGACGATAATGTAATGACCAGGTGCCACTGAGAACAAGGTAATAACAAATAATAAATTTTATTAATATTTTTATTATTATCATTATTATTATTAATTATTATTATTATTATTATTATTATATTATTATTATTATATATTATTATTATTATTATTATTATTATTATGATTATTATTATTATTTTGTATTATTATTACTACTACTACTACTGCTATCACTACTACTACTACTACTACTGCTACTACTACCACTACTACCACTACTACCACTACTACCACTACTACCACTACTACTACTACTACTACTACTACTACCACTACTACCACTACTACCACTACTACTACTACTACTACTACTACCACTACTACTACTACTACTACCACTACTACCACTACTACTACTACTACTACTATTACCACTACTAACACTACTACCACTACTACTACTACTACTACCACTACTACTACTACTACTACTACTACCACTACTACCACTACTACTACTACTACATACACTACTAACACTACTACACTACTACTACTACTACTACCACTACTACACTACTACTACACTACCACTACTACCACTACTACTACTGCTATCACTACCACTAGTACTACTACACTACTACTACTACACTACTACTACACTACTACCTACTACTACTACTGTATCACTACCACTAGTACTACTACTACTACTACTACTACCACTACTACCACTACTACTAATACTACTACTACTGTTATCACTACCACTAGTACTACTACTACTACTACTACTACCACTACTACCACTACTACTAATACTACTACTACTGTTATCACTACCACTAGTACTACTACTACTACTACTACTACCACTACTACCACTACTACTAAATACTACTACTACTGTTATCACTACCACTATACTACTACTACTACTACTACTACCACTACTACCACTACTACTAATACTACTACTACTGTTATCACTAACCACTAGTACTACTACTACTACTACTACTACTACCACTACTACCACTACTACTAATACTACTACTACTGTTATCACTACCACTAGTACTACTACTACTACTACTACTACTACTACCACTACTACTACTACTACTACAACTACTACCACTACTACCACTACTACTAATACTACTACTACTGTTATCACTACCACTAGTACACTACTACTACTACACTACTAAACCACTACTCTACCACTACTACTAATACTACTAATACTACTACTACTGTTATCACTACCACTAGTACTACTACTACTTCTTCTTACTATTTTTTATATGGCCTAGAAACCAAAAACACAAATTATGATTCAGTACGTAGTTTTCACGGTCTCAACCGGTCAACCAGTGGAAGGTCTCGGACCAGTGACCAAAATCTCCAATAAGAGGAAAAATTATACGAGCCTCTAGCGACGGTATGTTTTATTTACAT